GCACCCTGGCTGCCGCTTCTGTGTTCACCCTATGCTTCCCCTTCTCTTGGGTTCTCTCCTCTGCAGGGCAGCCTCCTCCACGCCCACCTCAGCCTACCGTCCTGCTCACCAGTAAGTTTGGCTTCTTTGGGTGCTGCTCTTCCTTCTTCACAACCTCTTTCTTTTCTCTCTTACCTGAATGGCCTGGGGCAGGTGCCCTGGTATGCCTTGGGAGCAAAGAGGGCTGAAACTATGGGGTGTTTTGGGGGCTTGGAGATACAGATGCCCCTTCTTGCACCCTTGAGGGTGATGGAACCCTCATCATCCCTCTTTGTCCCCTTCCAGAGCCTTGCTATGACCCCGTTAGTGAGGAGGAGGAGGGTCTGCCAGGGGGTCTCCGGAAGCTCTGCCTGAAGAAGCCAGGCACAGGAAAGGGTCTGCGTCCAGTCAAGCCATCAGCACGGGTACCGGGCACCAAGGTGGGCGAGCGGCAGCCCGGACGGCTGGCAAGCGAGGGGCCAGCAAGCAGCGAGGTGACCCTCATTGACTTTGGGGAGGAAATACCCCAGGGTAGCCCCTCTCCAGTGGGGGAGCTGACAGCCCCGTCATTAGCCAAGCTGGCCATGGAGGCCTGCTCTTTGCTGGACAAGACCCCACCACAGAGCCCCACACGGGCTCTACCTCGGCCTCTCCACCCCACGCCAGTAGTGGACTGGGATGCCCGACCCTTGCCCCCACCGCCTGCCTATGATGACGTGGCACAGGATGAGGACGATATTGAGGTCTGCTCTATCACCAGCCCCCCGAGCCGACGGGGCAAGACCAACTATGGATTTGTGGATGAGGGTGAGCGGGGACCGATACTGGAAGACAACCTCTTCCTGCCCCCCAAGGAGACCAAACAGCCCAGCATGACACAGACCACCGAGCTCTTCGAGGAGCTGCAGCAGGAGTGCATGAAGAGGCTCAACGTCCCTTTGGGACCAGCTGCACCGGCTGATGACAAGCCCCAGATCCCTCCCCGTGTCCCAATCCCGCCCCGGCCCCTTCGCCGCAATGAGCCTGGGCGCTGGTCAGGGGACCTTTCCCCAGCTTCGGGGGGTGAGGAAGACCGGCCGCCCCAGATCCCCCCACGGGACCCACTGTCCCAGCCCACCTCCCGGACACCCAGCCCCATGGCTCTGCAGGTGGGCTCCCCCCAGCAACGTGCTGCCCTCTGCTCCTGCCTCTCCACCTCACCAGGGAAGCCCATGCCCACCACACAGAGCTTCGCCCTCGACCCTAAGTACGCCACCCCCAAGGTCATCCAGGCGCAGGGCAAGGACTCTTCCAAGGGACCCTGCATCCTGCCCATCGTGAAGGATGGGCAGAAGGTCAGCAGTACCCACTACTACCTGCTGCCCGAGCGCCCTGCCTATCTGGACAAGTATGAGAAGTTTTTCAAGGAGGCTAAAAGCCCTGAGGAGGTGCCAGCGTCCCGCCAGGTCACCACAGCCACCGTCCGTCCCATGGTGCAGCAGCCACTGCCAGACTGCAAGGCCAACTTTTCCTCCAACAACAGCAACCCTGGGCCCAAGTGCCTGGTGAAAGCCTCCTGCAGCCTCCAGAAGATCGTTTACGATGGGCCAGATGTTTGCCGTTCTGCTGACAAGATCCGGCTGGTAAGTGGCACCCCCCAGCATCCATGAGAAATGGGCTCGCATGGGCAAGAGCTTTCCCCACCCCATGCCTCAGTTTTTGCAAGTTCAACCCCAGGGGATTGGCTAGAAGAAAGCCCCAGATGTGCAGGGGGACATAAATGTCACTGCAATTCCAAAATGGGAATTGAAGGCCCTGGGGAGGAGGAGGGTGGCTGTTGCTATGGTACCCCTGGTCTTTCTAGGCTGAGGATATTGTGGCCCACACAAGCCCAGGAGAGATTTAAGATCCCAGGGATGAGAATGATCCCAGCTCCAGGTTGATAGTGCTCCCTGAAGACAGAACCAGGGATGGGGGGCAGCCCCAGTAGTCCCCACTTCAGTCACAGGCTTCTTGCTGCCCAAGGGTGGCAGCAGACAGTGACCACAAGCTCCCCCCAGGTGCAGGACACGGTGCATGGTGTGACCACCGAGGAGTGTCAGGCAGCCCTGCAGAACCATGGCTGGAGCATCCAAAGGGCTGTCCAGTACCTGAAGGTACAGCACACCCCTGTTCCCTCATCACAGCTCCAGCAAGAGTGGTGGCACTCCTGTCACCCTTCTGGCCATGCCCTGTCCCCTTGCAGGTGGAGCAGCTCTTCTGCCTGGGGCTGAAGTCCCGTGGTGAGTGCCAGCGAGTGCTGGAGATGTTCGACTGGAACCTGGCACAGGCCAGCTCCCACCTCCTCGATACCTACAGCGCCACCCGCCCGAAGTAGGGACATCAATGTTTTTGAGGGGGCAGTTCTCTATGCCACACTGCTCTGGGCAGACTGGCACCATCACCCCTCCTGAGTTCATGTCCTGTGCTCTCCTTACAGGTGGTGACAGCGGGGATGGGGCGAGCTGTGTCGGATCTGGAGGAGGCATCTCACCATGGGGCCAATCCCACCACCTCCACCCACACAACGTGCTGCAGGACTCTGGACTGAGCCCCCACTTGAGGGTGGAGACACCCCAAAAGGGACCCTGCCTAGCACCACAGACTTTCCAGGGTGCTTGTGCCCTGGCCTTGGCAATGGGCTTCATCCCCTGGCACCTTGTTGAATTGTTTTTGTAAAGAGAAATGTAATTTTAATATATATATTATGTATATATATAAAAATATTCTATGGAGAGGAGGAGGGTGCCTATGGCCATCTCCCAGGTTTATCTCTGCCAACACACAGGCACAGGCCACATCTCCGTGCGTGCTGGAGATCCGCTGTGATCTGCTGTGGGATGACGCTCAGGATGGGACTCAAGGACTCTGGGAATCCCCAGGAAGCTGTGTGACATGGGCACATATAAAACCTCCTGCCCAGTCCTCCTAGGCTGCTTTAGGGTGCAAAGTTTTCCCCATCCAGGGCTGCTGGAGTTAGTCCCAGTATATCCCACCCCCAGACCCGACGCCCGAAGGCTGGGCATGGCTTTGCCTGCTCTGAGTGGGTAGTGCTTGCCTGCAGGGGAGCCCCCCTTGCCCGGTGCCCCGCGGCTCCCGGCTGCCGCCTGACTCATGCCCGGGCAGGGAGTGGCGGGACCGGCGTCGCCGCCACCCACGCGAGGGGTGTTGTGCAACCGGGTGCCTCCGCCACAGACGGAGCCGGGAGCAGGTGCGGGAGTGGAGGGGTGGCTCCCGTGGGGTCAGAGCCGGTGTCAGTGCTCGCTCCCCACTCCCAAGTGGCTATCGGAGCCCCTTAGCTGGGTTTCCTGCTGTGCTGCCTTCTAGCAGCATCAGGAAGGGATCTTGGGATCAGGTGGAGGAGGGTCTTAGTGCCCAAACCCACCAGGTCCACTGGTAGTGTTGGTACCTGCTCCCCAGGAGACCCTGCTCCAGAGCTGACGGCTTCAGGGGAGAGACCGTGCCATACACAGTGAGGAAAGGCTGCTTTGGCATGACCGTGGATCCATCCCTGGCCACATCCTGTGCACCCCATCCACAGCTCCCTCAGCTCTGGTCCCCTGGCCCTCCCTGAGCGTGGGAACAGGGAGCTGGTGCTGCTGTGAGCACGGTCATGCATTGCTGCTTGGGACTCTGTGCTTCTGTTTTCCTGTGTGAGGTGTAGCCACCATGGCAGGGCTGTCAGTGAAGCAGGGAAGGCACAACACCATCACTGACTTACTTCCCTCTCCTTAAGTGATCCTGGAGCTGGGTGAGAGCCTGTGAAGGAGCAAACGCATTTGCTGCAGTGGCCTCACTGGATCCGTTCGTACAGCTGGGTTCATCCAGCCTCTTGTCTCTGGTGGAAGGTGACCTGCAACCCAGGGCAATGCCCAGCCCCACCACCTATGCGGGAGCAGCCCTCCCACTCCATCCGGGTTTGTGTGGGCGTTTGCCGCGATGTGCTGATAACGCCTGGGACCGGCAGTGCCGAAGGGGGGGACAGGGCAGGGTCAATACGCAGGACCCCAAGGCACCAGCGGTAGCCTGCTCCTTCCTTCTTCCTCCTTGGTGACGAGCCAACCCCTGCCAGGGGTTATCGGCCATGCAGTCAAGTGTGGAGGGACCTGACAACAACCAGGAGGGTGGATGGGGGTGCAGAGCCCAGGACTGACCCACCCGTCCCAGAGATGTTTGGGACCCCTGTCCCCACCTGCCGTCCCGGTGCCTTTAGGCCAAGTGACCTCGAACCCCCTGATTGCTCTCCAGGGGTTGGGGACCCCGGCCGCGGGCTGTCAACAGTGGGGTCAGTCTGGGAAGGACCTTAGAGCTTCCCGTGGCAAAATGGGTGTGGCCCCCAGCATCAGTGGGTCCCCAGAACTGGGACGCTGCCACCTCAGCGGAGGCTGCGAGGACACAGAGACGTCAGTGCCCCAGGCAGGGCACGTGGTGTCCCTGTCCCCCCCACCTGGGGGAGTGCTCACCGGTGGAGCCACCCGTTGCGCTCTCCCTTGAGAGAGTGAGAGCGGCAGCCCTGTCTCCTTCCTCCCTGACGCCGAAGAAGCGCTAATGGGGTGCCGGGGCCGGTGGCCGCTCTGGAGCTGGGTGCTGTGGGGGTTCTGGGTGCTGCCAGGTAAGTGCCAGGGTCCCCTCGCACCGCTAGCGGGCTGCCCAGGTGGCTCATACCATGTGGGTGATGGGCTGCAAACAGCCCTCCGGCTGCTGCAAAGCTGCGAGATTGAGCCCGAGTGCCCGGCCGGGGTTTGCTCTCTGTCTGCGGGCGCCAGAGCTTTGTCATGGTCCCCAGTTACAGCAAGGGAAGGTGCGGGAATTGTGGATCAAACGGAGAGACTCACCCTGCGGGAAGGTGCCTGTCCTGCTCTTGGTCTTGGTCCTCCTGCAGAAGGGAGGAGGGGTGGGGGCGATGGCGACTCTGGGCTGGTTTTTAACTCATCCTCCCTCACCCACCTTCTGCACAAGCCGGGGAGATGAAGGGGCAGCCCCTTGTCCCCACGCTGGACCCATCCGAGTCGGGCAGCATCTCCCATGTGGCCGACAGCAGCAGCGCCGAGCTGCCTTCAGACCTGGGCATGTGCCAGGAGCTCCACTCTCCCTCCGGCCCGACCACCGCCCCCGCGGGCAGCCAGAGCTCAGGTAAGGCCGGCAGGCAGCTGGCCGAGGGCAGGTTCCTGCCTGCTGGGGCCGCGGTGGGGTTGATCCAGCTGGAGCTGCCTTGTCTCGCTCCACAGGCATCCTGGTGCCACAGGCAACAACGAGAGGGTTGGTCCCAGCTGGAAGCAGTGGTGAGCAGGAGGGGCCTCCCAGCCCGGCAGCTCTCCCTGGGAGTCCAGCAATGCAAGGCAGCCCCCAGGCAGGGTCAGGGGCTGGGGTCTCCTCTCCAGGTGCTGCCAGCCACTCAACCATCGTCCCTCCAGCTCCCACCACCACTGGGCACATGCAGCCTCTGTCCTTCAAGCCAACGAGGCACACAGTGGGTCTTGCCCTGGGTGCTGTCACCGTGGAGCAGATGCCAGTGACAGCATGGACCACAGGGCCATTGCTCCTCCAGGATGAGCACAGCAGAGCAACATCAACCCCCAGCACAAGCAGGAGCTCTGCTGAGCCACACAGTACTGCCATGCTCCTGTCCCAGGAGGTCATACTGGAGCTGGATGAGGCCACCTCACCTTTGGCCACAGCTGCCAGCCTCTCTCAGGACAAGGCCAGCCCCATGAAGATGGCAGCAGCCGCAGCCAGTCCCCCCAGCACAGCTGCAGAGGGAGCCAGCATGGCAGCCCCACCGCCTGCAGACCCCCCGAATGCATCCTTGGCAAAGGTCACCTTTTCTTCTGCCACCATTGACACCAGCAAGGCTACAGAGCCAGGGACATGTACCTTGCCCAGTGCTGACCACAATGCCTCACAGCACCCTCCTGGGCCTCCCACTCAGCTGCCTCTAGCCCTTTTGCCCCAGCTTCCTGATGATGCTGTGCTGGGCACAGGGGAGATGCTTCCCCTCAGCCACAGCGTGGCCCCGGGCACTGCTGGACATGGGCTGCCTGGAGACAACGCTGTCACCCAGCCCCAGGCCACCACACAAGCTGCAGGCACACCGGCTACAGTGATGGATATCATAGCTGGAGAGCACATCCCACCTCTGGGAAGCACCAGTGCTGAGCTGGTATCCATCAGGAATGAGGCCAATACCAAAGCCACTGCCATCCCGGAGACCAAGGACACACCAGGAGGGCTCAGCATGAGTCTGTCCCCCCATGTAGCTCTCAATGACCCTGATGGTCCCCCTCCAAGGCCCTTTCCTTACTCTATGGATTCTCTTCTCAATGACCCTGATGGTCCCCCTCCAAGGCCCTTTCCTTACTCTATGGATTCTCTGCTCCCTCAGTCCCTCTCAACAGGCCTTGGAACCACCACAGCAGAGACAGCTGCAGGCAGATCTCCTCCAGTCACTCCCGGTATGGCCACGCCTTTGTCCATCACTGGCACCAGTGGAGCCAAGCCAGACAGGGCCCCTCGAGCTGCTGCTGCTGCACCACCACCTTCCATTGCTGCATTTGAGACTGTGCCAGCTGCCCATCCATCCTCCTTTGTTAGCAGCTCTCCAGTTAGTGAAGCAGGGCTGGGATCAGCATTACTGGCCAGTGGCAGTGCCACCACAACACCGCGGGACACCAAAGCCACCGTGTCTGTGCCTGATGCACACCTCAGCCACAGCCAGCCAGTTCCCACAGCAGGCTCAACAGCCCCAGGAGCTGGTGTCACACCCAGATCTGCGCTAACCTCAGTGCTCTGGGCTGGGCCCCAAGTTGTGGAAGCTCCAGGGACAGAGATGCCATCACCCAGCACTGCACCAGGCACTGGCAGAGCTGTATCAGACACCCCTGGGGGACCCAGAGCAGTCACTGTCCCCATGGCATCACAAGTAGACGTCCCCTCTCTTCTGGAAGGCAGAGCCAATGTGGGGATGGCTCTGGAGGTATCCCCATCCAGCATCCCTCAAGAGATGGCAGCAGTCATGTCCCCACTGTCCCTGGCTGCCCCACTGCAAGCAATGGAGGCTTTAGGTGACCCCCAGCCCGATGGCAGCACCACAGGGAGAGCAATGGGGATGGGGTTCCTGGAGGTGAGCACAAAGGAGAACCCAGGTGCCAGTGCAGTGGGGCCAGCTCCCAGCCACACGACTGTCACTGCCAGGCCATCACCAGAGCCACTTGCCACTGAGGACAAGCCCACAGCTGGGATCACCTCGCTGGCTGTTGGCCACACAAAAGTGCGGGAGGCCACAGCTGCATCCTGGGCAGGTGCCACAGGTACCACTGCCCACATGGAAATCACCCTCTCTGAGAGCAGCACTGAGGGTGCAGCACCCTCAGCCAGCACCAGCAGCACCCACGTCCCCAACTCCAACGCCGCTGGCACAAGCCTGGCTGTCACAGCATCCACAGCATTCCCCAGCAACGCTAACCTGCCAACCACCTCAACAGGCTGGGAGACCTTTGTGACCAGGGTCACCACAGCCGTGCCACCTGCCACTGCAAGGGCCAGCAGCACCAGCAGTGCCCCATCCCCTGCTGTAACACACAGCGAGACAAGCGGAGGTGGGCAGCCTGTCCCATCCCCAGCAGCACGTACCCCCTTGGTGGAGACAACCCATGGATCCTGGGGCATCCTTGGTCCCAGCACTGGTGTTGCAGTGTCTGGTTCTCCCCTCCCCAGCCTGCACAGCCCAACAGAGGAGACAACAACAGCCCCCTCGTCCCTGCTTGGTGTTAGTGCAACTGGGGTGACAGCAGCTGGACAGACTCACACCGAGTCAGCAACAGGCACCACTTCTACATCCACCAGCTACCATGACGTGGGACAAACAGCAAGCATGTCACCTCCTGCCTTCCAGACATCTCCAGGGGCACCTGCCTGGAAGGAGAAAACAGCCATCACTGCAGGCAGCACCACTGCCACTGCTGCAGGCAGCACCACTGCCACTGCTGCAGGGAACATCGGTGCCACCACTGCCACCACTGCAGGGAACACCACTGCCACCACTGCAGGGAGCACCACTGCCACCACTGCAGGGAACACTGCTGCCACTGCTGCAGGAAACATCAGTGCCACCACTGCCACCACTGCCACCACTGCCACCACTGCAGGGAACGCTACTGCCACTGCTGCCACCACTGCCACTACTGCAGGCAGCACCACTGCAATTACTGCAGGGAGCACCACTGCCACCACTGCAGGGAACATCGGTGCCACCACTGCCACCACTGCAGGCAGCACCACTGCCACCACTGCAGGGAACACCACTGCCACTACTGCCACCACTGCAGGCAGCACCACTGCCACCACTTCCACTGCTGCCACCACTGCCACTGCTGCCACCACTGCAGGCAGCACCACTGTCATCACTGCAGGAGGCACCGCGGCTATTGCATCCACAGCCCCAGTGAGCCCAGCCGAGGGTGTGGGAAGTCTCCCAGCCCCAGGCACCACGGCACCAGTGAGACCAGCAGCCACCAACAGCCCTGCCACCACCCTGTCTCATGCCGTTGGGACACAGAGAGGACCATCCACCGAACTGAGCACATCTGCCCACGCCACCACTGCGCACAGAACTCCTGCACCTGAGCCCAAACCCACCCATGAGCTTGTCAGTAAGTAGATTTTCCCAAAGACAAGAGTAGGAAGGGGGTTTTCAGCCAGTCGAGCATTGTGATGGATGATGGTACAGCCTCGTCTGGGGTATCTCATCTGCATTGCACATTGGGCTGCCAGATTCATGGGAAAAGGCAAAATAGGACATTTGAGAGCATCCCAAAAGTGGGTTGGAAACTGGGTTACAATTCATCAGAGCACAGATACATCCTGACAGCAAGCAGGTGGGTTTGTCCTGGCTGCAGCATGGATTAATCAGACATTAATAATTTACATCTTTTTCATTGATCTCCTGCCCATGACAGAGCCAGCAACCTCACTCTACCCCTTTGGCATGGAAGGAGGGGACCAAGAATACGTCCAGAGGAGGGTGGATTTTAACTCACCCCTGTTCAAGCCAGAAATTGGATTCCCCTTTGGGAAGTCTCTGCATGATGCTCTCTATGTGAGTGTCCCCCTTGGTGAGCACATAATGGATGTGCTGCCTTTTTGGTAAAAAAAAAACAAAACATGAAAATGGAGAAGAAACCAAATTTCATCTGAATATCTTTTTTTTCTGCATTTAAAATGGTTGGTTTCTGCTCACCCATGGAGGCTAAAAGCTATCCAAGTCAGCAAATAACAAGTTCTTTTGGTTAGTTTACAGATAATGGACAGATAATTTTTCCACCCACGGACAACTACGTCCCATCCAACCCCAACCCCCCTCCCCGGGGCTTCACTGGCCGGGAGAGCTTGCCAATGGTGGCTGCCTTTTGGGATGATGCAGACTTTTCCAAGGGTGTTGGCACCACCTGGTACCAGGTGAGGGCCACCAGAGGTGGTCTCCTGGGAGAATCCAGTTCCAAGCTCACTCATTTAATTCTGTCTCTTGCCACCTGGCAGGAGTACTCTACACTCAGCTCTACCCAAGACTCCGTTGTCCAAGATGTGGAATCAAAGATTGAGAAATACCTGAAAATCCCCTATGTAGCAAAATGGACCTTGAAGGTGACGTGGGAGAAAGCTCCAGCATACCCATCCCGGAGGGATGACAGTCAGGTGAGCAGGACAGGACCCAGGTGACAGAGAGTACTGCTGATGGCTGTTTCAAGTCTTGCTGCCTCAGACTGCGCTGCAGGGAGAGCAGGAGAGGCTTTGGGAGTGTTAAGGGTGTTCCTTGGGTTTCTCCAGACGAGCACCTACCAGGCAGTGCTCACCACCGATGGGAACCGCTCCTTCGCCCTGCTGCTCTACCAGGACGGTGGGATGCGCTGGGACTACACCAAGCTGGCTGCAGCTAACGTGCTGATCGGCTTCTCCAGGTGCTGCACGCCTGTCACTGGGTTTTGGGACAGCAGAGATTTGTTCCAGCACTGTGCTGAGACTGTCAGAGGCATTACTCCCAGGAAAGCCCAGCTCCCACTCCTGGAGCAACCCTGCCCCATTTAAACCCTTTCTCCTGCAAACTGCAGCAGTTCCCATCCCAGCTGCCCTATGGGGAGGGGAGGAGGGTCGTGTTGGAAGGATGACCTCACACCTCCTCTCTCCACACAGCGGCAATGGCTATGCCCAAAACAACGAGCTGACTCAGAAGCCACCAGCTGTCAGGTACAGACCAGACCAGGAGAGCAGCACCGGCTCCGGTATGGCACCAAGGGGTTCTGGGGTGGGTGGGGGTGGAAGGAGCTGTGTGCTCTGTGCCAGGAGCATGTCCCCAGCACCCATCCCTGGGAGGTGATGGGCCAGCAAAGCCACTGGGCAAGACTGGGCAAGCCACCAAGAGCAGACTGTGGGTGTCCCATGTCCTGTGGCTTGCCACAGCCCTGCTGGCTCTAGAGGGAGCCTGGAGACCTCGTGTGAGGTCAGTGGCCAGGGACAGCTGTCCCACGGGATCCCTCAGCACAAGGCGAGACGCTGGCTGAGCGGTGCTGTTCTCTGGTTGCTCCCCCAGATGTGCGTGGGCTGTGGATTTACAGGCTGGACAGTCGCTCCCGGGTGAATTACAGGCTGCAGTGCCTGGCGTGGCTGGACACAGAGCCAGCACCGGCCACCTGGAACAGCCGGCTGCCAGCATGCCCCTGCTCCCGGCCCCAGGCAGAGCTGGATCCCCGCTACCGCTGGAGCAGAGGTGCCAAGGACAGCCCCCCAGGACCAGCTGCGGGGAGGGGGGATGGTCCCCCCCTGCTCTGGGGGCAGCTGTGATCCCCCCCACTATTCCAGGCCCAGCGGACACGTCTGTGAGGATGCTGCGCACTGCGTCCCCCAGCCCAGCTGGAGCTGGGGTACGATGTCTCTACCGAGGTGGGAGCTTGCTCGAAGGCTGGCAGGAGAGAACATGGAGCCTCCCCTTCCACACCGCCACTGGTAAGTGGGAACTGGCATTCCCTAGCCCTAAAATACCCCAAGCATCAAGCACAGGCAAGGCAAAGGCCCCAGCACACCCCATCACGTTCCTCCACAGACAGGGAGCTGGAAGCATTCGACTGGTGCTGCCGGCGTGTGGGGAAACCCCTGTTCTGTGCCAGGTTTGCTGAGAAGAGACCAAGGGTTGGCTGTGAAGGATATGTGCCACCCACTCCTGGTGAGTCCCCAGGCTCTGCCCCTGCTGTGCCAGGGCCCTGAGCTGTGCACGGACCCAAGCATTAGCCACACTTTGCAATATGCCAGTGGGGACTGCTGAGCCACCACTGAGTAGCTCAGGGGCTGCTCTCCTCCCTGAAATGACACCAACATTTGCTCTTCTTCCTCTGCCCAAAACATCTCCATCTCCTTTGGACCCCAGCTGGTGCCTTTGGGGACCCTCACATCACCACCCTGGATGGACTCACCTACACCTTCAATGGGCTCGGGGACTTTGTCCTGCTGCTGGCCAGTGATGCCCAGACCAGCTTCGTTTTGCACGGGCGCACAGCACAGACTGGCATGGCCCAGGCCACCAACTTTGTGGCCTTCGCTGCCCAATACATCTCCACCACCACCACAACAGTGAGTAGGAGTGTCCTAGGTGTGACTCTGAACCTTTAATGAGAGAGACTCTAGAAATCTGGAGTCACCTCTGCATCACCTACAAGTGGGTGGGACACAAGAGGCATCCCCTCTCCATTTCCTGCCACCTCCAGCCACTCCAATGAAGTACTGTTAATGGTGGGATGGACTAATATTCACCAGGCACAGGTCTAACACCTCCTGCAAATAGGCCAGCAAGGGCTGGAGGCTCTGCAGGAACATGGTCTGCTTCACTTTTTTCATTCCACATTCTTTGTCCTGACATTTTAGCACAAGTGACTGCTCTTCCTGACTTTGCAGAATTGCTCCCCACACCCATTTAGCTTCATTAAATAGAATGGCCTGGTGTCACCAGGAACAGGCATTGAATAGCATGAGGAGGAGGGTCAGAGCTGGGTTAGCTGAGCAGTGGTGGTGGCCTGGGCATGCCCCTTGCCAGCGGTGACAGGCAGCTGGCTGTCCTCTTCTGTGCAAACATCAGAGCTGCTGTATTGTGTGACCAACACCCCAGGGCTGAGCCTCTCTTCCTGGGCTGGAAGAGAACAGAGTTAATAATTGTTCCCAGCATGGAGGGACAGCAGGAAGGGACAAGCAGAGGGGCTGACCGGGACATCCACCATGATTTTCAGGTTGAGTGGACCTTGGGGAGCCAGGATGACATCCAAGTCCTCCTGAACAATGAAACCGTCCAGTTTTCCTATTCCGAAGGTGAGTAGGGTCTGCTGTTAAATGCTAAATGTATGTGGGGGGGACCAGAGATGTCCCCATCCCATGGGACCAGCCCTGCCCTGTGCGAGGGAAGCCATCCTGAGATCCATTAAATGTCTCTCTCCTGCACCTATCTCTGATTTGGGTGGGGTGGATGGGGAGCACTCCCATCCAGGGATCCATGGTTGTCATTTCAGATCCCAGCCTTGCATAGACTCTCCCTCTGTGCTCTCCTTCTCTTGCAGACCTGGGTGATGAGGTCTACTACATCCCTGGTGTCCTGCTAGTCAATGCCTCCTCTGTCACGGCTGTCTTCAATGGGACCATCGCTGTCTCTGTCTCAGCCAGCTCTGGGATCCTCAGCGTGGTCTGCAGCCTGCCCGACTGGTACCGCAACAGCACCAGGGGCCTCCTGGGTGAGGGCTTCTGGCACTGCTGCAGAGCTGGGGTGCAAATTCTCTTCCCATTCTAAAGTAGACTGGAAAACTGGGGAATTGTGCTTGTGAGGGCAAGGACACCTGGGTTTAAACTAAACACTGGCTAGCACCAGAGAGGAGGTCAACCCTGGCATGAGGGATTCCAGCACTCTGGTGATGCTCCACCAGGTGTGTGGGACCATGACCCCGCAGATGACTTCCAGATGCCAAATGGTACCAGCATCCCTGTGAACAGCAGTGAAGAGGAGATCTACAGCTATGGGATGACCTGTAAGTCCAGGCTTAGGATCCCCCTTGATCCTCCTCCTTCCTGCACCTTCTGGCCATAGGTTGGCTTGAGATATTTAAATATTTGCGTGAGCAAAAGCAATGCCAAGGGAAGGTGTTTGGTGTCCTCACTGCTCTGTGAAAAGGAACCCTGAAATACAACAAACCTTAAAATGGTCTGTACCTATGGCATGCTCTCTTGCAGGGGCTGTTGGGGAGCACCACCTGTTCAGTCAGCCTCTGGACTCACCAGCACTGAACTTCACACCCTTCTTCTTGTCTCGGCTGCGGCAGGAGAATGAAAGCCAGTACCAGCTGGCAGCCTTGCAGTGTCACGGCAGCAAGGAGTGCATCTACGATTCGCTGAGCACAGGGAACTTGGCCCTGGGCCTGGCCACCCAGAGCCTTGCAGCCGACTTCCAGCAGAGGAAGACAGCACTCAGTAAGTGGAGCACATCCTCACCTCTGAGAGGGCATGGCTTCGATGTAACTGGGCAGTGCCCTGCTCCTTTCCTGGGCTCTCTTGCTTCATATAAGACAGAAGTCACCAAGGTCTTGGATTTGCACTGCCCAGCTGGCTTATCTCCAGTCCTGGGAGATGCCAACAGCAGGACAGTTGCCATCAAGGCTTTGGAACTGCATTTCCCGGAACTGTGTGTTCATCTCCAAACCTGAGAGATGCCACCATGCTGTGCACCAGCATCTGCCTGGAGTCCCATCCTCACCAGGAGGGACTCTGAGCCAAGGGGTGACAAGGCCACATGCGTGTTGGGCTGCTTTTTCCTCAGATGCCTTCCCTCCCGTCATCACCGGTGATGCATCAATCACAGCCTTCAGGACAGAGAAGGTCAGAAGGCAGTACCATGCCTTGGGGGCGGGTGCACGCTTCATTCCCCATCTCTCACCAGAGCTCAACATATCGGGTAAGGGAAGGAGAGATGGAGCAGCTGGGATGGGAAAGAATGGGATGGAATGCCTCTGCCACCTCTAACTCCCACCTCTCGTCCTGGCAGAGAATGGCACCCTGATATGGAAGCCCCGTGAGATAGCCCCATTCACCATCAACCTGGAGGCTGTTGGGTCCAACAACATCTCTGCACTGCTCCAGCTCCGCTTCACCCTTTGCAGATGCAGCAGGAGCCAGGAGTGTGACTACGGCAACACTGTCATTCTCAGGGAGTCTTCCCTGCAGGTAGTGTGCCAGAAAATTCCTCTGGTGACACACTGTGTGTCCCCATGCCAGCTGTGCTGGCTGTCTTCTCTGTCCACCCATCCTCCTCATGTTCCCTAAGCCAGTGTCACTATCCCCTTCCCAGCTGGCAGCCTGCAGATGCGAGAGCGGCTACTCAGGTCCCCTCTGCCAGGACCCTCCGGACCCCTGCTCCCAGGGATGCTTCCCTGGTGTGGGATGTGACCCTTTCCGTGGCTGTGGCCCCTGTCCAGCTGGCCTGACAGGGGATGGACAGCACTGCTCAGGTGCCAAGGGCTCACACCATGGCCACTGGGACCCCAGCCAAGGTGTTTGTCCCGGTGCCACGGTGCATTGCCTCGGCAGATATCGATGAGTGTGCGCAGGGGATGGAGTGCCTGGGGAACAGCACCTGCACCAACACTGTGGGCAGCTACGTCTGCTCCTGCCTGGCCAGTGAGCAGGGTGAGTATGGGGTCCCTGGCAGGCATAGTCCTCGTCCTCATCACCCCCAGGCTCTGTGGAAGAGAATTCCTGAGGGACCCAGGCTGGCTGGAGAGGAGGGGGAGCTGGCTGAGCTCTGTGCCCAAGCCCTTGCTGTCATTAGCAGAAGGGATCAGAATCCAGCCACCACTCGTGTTCCCAGGCTGTTGATCTCACTAATCCACTGGGAAGGGAAATTTTTCTCATGCAACTTTTCTCATCCCAGCAAAGTTCAAATGCACACGCGGAGGTTGGGGGCTAAATCAAGCCCTGTTTTCAGATTGCTTTGGTGGAGTAGAGCTGATGGCTTTTGCTCTTGTTCTAATTCTGGGATTTAAGAAGGGCAAATGGCTCCAGCTGGAAGGAGGGGGAGTGGGGCTTTTTCTTGAATTTACACTAAAACTCCTAACACATAAAAGAAAAACAAAACTGGGAAGGCCTTATGGAGCTGCTAAGGATGGCTCAGAGAGCTGGGACTCTGCTTTGCAGCCAGATTCATGCCTCTACCATGCTCTCCATCCCACAGGTGAGAAGCCAGGCTGTGGCTCAGCCTGTGGCTACCACTCCTGCCCTGAGGGCTACTGCAGTAACGGGGGACACTGCCACCTTCACCCCATCACCTGTGCCCCCACCTGCACCTGCCCCCCGGCTTTCACCGACCAGCACTGCCTGGTGGCAGGAGGGGACTTTCAGCCTCTGCCCAGCACGGGTGGGTACCTGGTGAAACCCAGCCCCACTCACCCTCGTCCTGGGTTGCCAGAGCCACCACTGTGGCTTTCCCTCATCAGGTCTCCCTCGGAGAAGCATCCAGATGAGGGTCAAGACACTGCAAAACACCACTGCTGAGGAAGTCAACAGCACTGTATGTCACTGGAGGGGCTGGGCTCAGAGCAGGGGACACACTGCCAGTACTGGGCAGCATGGCAGCTGGGGGTGCCCATGCCTCTGTATGCCCTCCCATGGGATCTCTGGGGGTCCAGCAGATCCACAAGCCCAGAGGGAGGAAGCACCAATTGCATGATGATGTCTGCAGCCATGGCCCTGTGCCAAGTCCCCAGCAAATGAACCAAAGTGCAGAGCAACCCTTGGGGCTTGGCCACAATGCCTGCATCACTCCTCAACCTTTCCCCATGGAAATGGAATGCTGGCGTCATTCTGCCTTCCCCTTATGCCTTCCTGCTCCCCCTGCTGCAGGTCTCGGCCATCCTGGACTCCCTGGAGGTAAAGGCTTTCCAGAGCAACACCAACATCACCCAGATGTGAGTCAGATGGGCAGCAGCCCATGACCACTCTAAGGAACTGGTGGGCCAGAGAGTTTGATGCACAAAGGGCATTTTCCCCCAGCTCAGAGTCTGTTTTTCCAGCCCTGATGCTGGTAAACCCTTGGAGACAGAAGCCAGTTGACAACTTCCACTCCTGTCTCATCCCTTCTTACCATTGCCCAAATGAGAGCACTGAGGCACAGTGAGGCTCAGTCACCCTGAGAGGCAGCAGCAGCTCCTCCAGCAGCCCTCTCTTTTCCCTGCAGGACAGACAGCGATGGCTTCACCTTCGTGCTGGTGTCCGAGTTTGCCTATGACAGCCGCGGCACCATCATCCGCTTCCTGAACGAGGAGCTGCCCGCAGCCATCACCGGCGCCTTCAACGCGCGGCAAGGGCGGCAGGCGCGCACAGGGCTCCTCTTCCAGCGCCTGCACCGGGACAACATCACTGACCTGGTGAAGCGTGAGTTGCTCCTGGCACTGAGCTGGCTAGTGTGGGAGGAGCACCTCCCTGTCCCCATTGTCCCCAAAACCCTGTGTGCCCCAGGGATCGGTTCACAGCCATGGGGGACGTGGGTGGGCAGCCTCCCAACCCCAGGCATAGATCCAGTCTGGGGAGGCTTGGGGAAGCATCAAGGGGTGCTGCTGCAAGGCCAGACCCATGTGCTTTCTCTCTCCAGTGACAGTGGATGAGCTGAGGGACTATTTCCCCTGCTCTCTGTATGGCTACAAAGGCTACCAGCTCCGCTACGTGGGGACCGTGGGCTTCATCTGCACCTCCCCTTGCAAGATGGGCTACTGCCAGCACGGTGGCCAGTGCCAGCACCTGCCCGAGGGGCCCACCTGCAGGTAGCAGCAGCCCCGGGGTGGACAAGGCCACCCTGCAGAGCTGCTTCTCCCACGGCATCACAGCTCCTCCCTCCCCATCCACAGCTGCCTGCGCTTCTCCATCTACTCCCCGGCCGGTGTCCAGTGTGAGTGGCTGGCCATCAGCCTGGCTGCCTTCCTCGGCATCCTGCTGGGAGCCCTGGCTCTGCTCTGCCTGCTGTTTGCCATCGCCTGCCTGGCCCTGCACCTCTGCCGCCAGCGCCGCCGCCAGCACCAGGGGTGAGCCGTGGGCTGGACCTGGGCAGGTGCTGGGCATGTGGCAGGTTGGGTGTCAGACAGGAAAACTGATCCAAAATCCACATTTGAAAGATCCACCACTGGTAGAACTCATCTGGTTTGAGCAGGGGGACCCTGCCCTGGGAGAGGGGTTGGGTGACATTTTAATATCTTCCATCCCCTTTTCCAGATATCTGCTGCTCAGGGGTGCAATAGCATCAGTGGGTTGAATGTTAGCTTTCCTTTTTCTTCCATGTTAGAGAGTGTTTGCATTTCTTCCTCAAGCCACCCAATACTTGATTACAGATGGACTTTCTATTTAATTTTAATTTGCATACCACCCAGATAATTTCCACTGCAATTCACATGGGTCTGGAAAGAGCTGGCCTGGAGCAAGGAAAAGTGGTTTAAGAATTAGACCTTGCTCTTCTGCAGGGGGTTAACAGAAGAACAGCAAAGTGCAAGGCTGGGGTGGCAGAACCAGCATCTCCTTTCCCCCTTCCCTGCTCTTGGTCCTGTGGTGGACTCTCAGGGGATCTCCCAAGCCCCTGTCTCTGGCTGGAGCTGTGTCCTGCCCCTGCTCCCAGCTCCCTGCCAGCCCTGGAGCCAGGGGTCTCTGGGAAGTTCCTGTTTCATTTGCACTTGTGGCAAGGCAAGAAACTGTGTGTGCACAACTGGGGCTTTTCCTCCTCTTACAGCCCCATCTCACCCCTACACTCAGTCACTGCTCCCCTTTGCCATCTGACCCAGCATCAGGCAGGGGCTCTCCCAGCCTCTGCTGACATGTCCTCTCTATTCTGTTCCCCGCTCTCAGTGCCAAGGAGACCTTGTGGAGGACACGGCCCTTCTCCTGTGAGTACCTGCCTGTAAAACTCCCCCCACTAAAGCTCTACTTCACCCCAGTCCTCAACCTCTTCTCATCTTCCCTGCTCCAGCTTTAACGATGACAGGAGAGCAAGCAGAGCCCACCATCTCCCACTCTCTGGAAAGGCATTGGAAACTGCAGCTCCAGGCCATTGACCCCTCAGTCCAGGTCTGCCCTGGGGTACTGTTTCCATGGGGTGTTGGGGTGGGGAACTTTGGGCTGGGCTCTGAATCCTGTCCCTGTGCCTCAGAGGTGCTCAGGAGCTGTGCCTTTGGCCAGCACTGGGATCCACATCCCCGTTTGAGCTCAGCACAAAGCACAGAGCCAATGCCATGCTGACAGCATGGCCTGTTCCTCCTTTACAGATAAGAATCCAGAGGCCCCACGTTATGCCTCCAAGCCAGTCCCCCCAGCAGCCCTAACCTGCCACTGGTCCTTTCCTGGCACCTCCAGGCTCAGGAGGAGCCAGACGCTGCTGCCTGCTCCGCCGCTTGCTCTCAAGCTCTCCAGCAGCAGCAACGCGTGGAAGGAGGGGACAGGCTGCTGCTTTTGGGTTCTGGGAGGATTCACTCTGGAGGAGGTGCTTTTTTGAATGTGTCTTTATGTTGGGTGGCCAAAGCAGGAGGATTTCACCTTCCCCTGAGGACCTGCAGAGACACCTGGGATCATCCTTGAATGTGTCTGCACTAGGGTATGTTCTGGTGCAACATAACCAGACCCTGCAGAGCCCCCGAGAGCAGGGTCAGCTGGGGCAATGCAGTGATTGTAATCCCTTAGGAACCAAATAGAATAAACCAAAAATGTTGGCTTGCTGTTAAATTGTCTGCACCTCAAGTGTCTCTGCGCCAGCCCTGCTTCACTGTCATTGAGCCCTCAAGTCCCTGCTTTCTGCTGGTCCCATCTACTGAGCCAAAGTGAAAATGGATGTAAATTTTCTAGTGCCTTCATCCACTCATTTTCCCTACACACCTGCAAGTCTCCTCACACTGCTTTCATGGACCCTGCTTACAGTGGCTCAGATCACACAGGTCAGGCTTTGGTCCCCATAAACATGCCACAACCCTTCAGCCCTGGTGATTGGGAGTTGCTGACCCAAGGAGGGTATATCAGACCCCATCAGACCCCCAACTCCCACCCCTTTCACTAAGCCCTGTCTTAGCTGTATCTCCAGCACTAAAGCTAAGAACAGAAATATCCTGTCATCCTGCTGCTCCAAGCCTGCCCTGTCAGAGCTTCCCACTCCAGTTTGGCAAAGGACATGGCTACTGCAGGATCAGTGATGCTCAAACTCTTTCAAGGTCTTATTGAACAAATGAGATTTGACAATGATTTAATTTTTTTAAGAAATGAAGATGCTCTTTTACACACAAAAAATTACTTTTCTTCCAACATTTCTGATCATGGGGTTGCATTTTGCCCTCACACACCCAGCAGACACACTGATCTGATTCTGGCTTGATCTGGAGAATTGTCCCTTCTCCTGCATACAGGGCCCAGGGACCACTCAGGGATGGCTGTGATACACAAGTGGGGGACAAGACAGGACTGGCTCACAGGACAAGACTGGTGCACCCTGGTATTTAAGGGCTTGGCCACAGTCAACCCCTGTGTGGTGTTTAACCCTTTCCCTGGGTGCCAGGGGTCCAGCCTTACCCTGCAGCATGGGAGCACAGTGGGATGTAGGAAGAACAAGGGTGGTGTGTGCAGTGGGGGGTACCTACCCACCTCCCCTCCAGTTCTGCCCCCCAGCTGCAGCTGGGAAAGGGCAACTAAAGCAACTGAATCCTTGGGAGAAGTCTGGGTTAGAAATGTGAGCTTGTGCCAGGGCAGGCAACTGCAGGCACTGGCCAAGTGAGCTGCCCTGCCTGGTGGGCAGGGGTGATGGGTTCTGTGGGGGAACACTGGGGAAGAGCAGATCAAAGCACTTGGAGGATCAGCCATGGCCCAGAATGTGCTGCGGGTGTGCAACCTCACAGTTACTTGTCCTCTCCATCTGCAAAGAAGAAATGAGATTTGCTCAGCCACCTTCTCCCTGTGGGGCAAGCTGGGAGCCCCAGGGTGTTTTCTTTCAGGGGCACAGGGACAGAGAGAAAGGAGACCCCACAATCCTGCTCACCTATCTGCTCATCTGAGTCATTCTCTGCCTCCTCCGAGGAATCTGTTGAGGGTTGCAAGAAAGCTCCATATCAGCTTACACCATAACCACATTTGCTGTGTCCTCCTGACCTCACAGCACCATTACCTCCAGACTAGGTGGTGGTTATGTGCTGAGGGAGATGCTCCCACAACCCTGCACAGCCCAGGGTATGGCACAACCTGCACATGGGCACCCCAAAACCCTTCCCCCATCTGCTCAGGGCTCTTGCTGCCTTAACCACAGGGAGGCTGGAACATTCTCACTCCCCTGCCAGCCCTGGGCACCAAGACAGCATCGTCCCAGTGCACATGAGCTGCAAACCCACCCGTGCTGGGTGACTGGTATCCATCACAGCCAATCTTCGGCCTCTTCTCACTGTAGCGGGCGCAGAGGTGGGCACTGCCCGCCCGATTACAGCACCAGTCGTACAGCTTCAGCTCCTGGTCTGGAGGCAAAAAGGAGAGTAAGGGTCTGAAGGGAAGAGGAGGGAGATGGACCAGTTCCAGACGAGGCTTTCCTCAGCTTTTGGAAGCTCCACACTCCCTCCAAGGGAAACAGCATGTCAGGAAATAGATTGGCACAGAGATTAAAATTAACATTTACAGGCTACAACAATGCCAGCCTCAGCCAGGGGATGCCAAGGCCGGCTGTGCTTACCACGGTAGGGTGACGCCTGCCTGGAGGACCTCCAGTACCTCTCCTGCCGCCCCTCGATGAGCTGGTCCTGGCTGTCATACAGGCAGCGAACACCAGCACCGTGCTGGTTGGGGGAGGCTGAGTGCAGCATGGAGACACGGGCACCCCACCTGCCTGGAATGGGGCAACAGTGAGCCCCAGACAGCTCTGTCCAGCCAGCACACCTGCCTCGGGGCAAGGATCAGGCCAGAGCTGGCTCCTCATTATCCACCACTCCCACCACATCAGCCACGGTGCTATAGGGGTTTGGAGGAACTGATGGAGACCACCCAAATGGTCCCCCAGGGTGACACCCTGGCCCCCAGCATCCCCATGCAGGTCAGACCAACTCTGGCTGTCTAATAAGGCAAGAGGAAGTCAGCCCTCAAACCTCTCTTTTCCTGTCTCTGAAGGGTAGGCCAGTCCCCCTCGCCTTCTTAGGGTCACCTGCCCACCCTGTCAGCTGGGACCCCAGCCACCCTCGCAGGGCAGGTGGGGAAGGACAGCTTGGGGATGAGAAGGGTAAGGAAGCAGCATGTCCACTTGCCTCCACGGCTGCTCTTGAAGCGTGGGTCCTGCTGCCCTTGCTGCAGGGAGCAGGGGCAGGTGGGCAGGCCCTGGCTCCATGCCCTGGGTTCCTGCTGCTGCCCTGTCCATGCCAGGCACTTCAGCCGGTAGTTGTTGCCCACACGGCTCTCCAGCTTGTAGATCCACAGCCCACGGAGGTCTGAGCAGGGAGAGAAACCATGAGCTGTCACCTTTGGCTGAGGGGACCACAGGGGCTGTTTTGTCTCAAGGTGAGAGTCATATGGTGCTGATGCTGGAAGCTAAGCCCACATCAACCTCCAGCCATGGGACTCCATGTTCAACAGCTACTCAATAGAAGGGAAATGGGAAGAGCCTCTTGTCAAAGAAAAAAGCCTTGGGACAGAGCCATTGGCACAAAAAGTGGCCATGGGATGTTTCAGCCTTAGGGCATAGCTGCTACCCAGGGGAAATATGCTTGAGGGGGAAAGTCTTCAGAACTCAGTGACAGCCTTGCCACAGTGGCAGGCTGGATTTCATTCCCTAGAAGAAACGAATCAATGAATCAAACTTCAATCCCCTCCTTCTGAACCCACCCCAGCTCTGTGGCATTACCTGTGTTGTAGCCCCTGAACTGGTCAGGGCGATATTTAGCAGCTGGAGGTCTCTTAGTCAGGTCATCGTTGTAGTAAAAGCCATCCCCGCTGAGTGAAGGAGAAAGAGGAAAAATCAAGGGTTGCTCTTCCTGGGTGGGATTATCCCAGCCCCAGCCCCAGCCTGCCCTTCAGCCATCCTGATCCCATGACAGTGGAATTTCAGCACCCACATGGCAGCTCTTGGGACAGGAGGGCAGAGGCATGATGTGCCCCAGCCTGCTTCCTCCTCTCTATAGGGTACAGTATAGAGGTGTATTTCTTTCTGGGTGCTGCAAACACTCCTGCTGCCTCAGGTGCTGAGACCACCGACATCTGAAGACCCCCACAAGCAGCTTCCAAGGTTTCCAGCATTTTGCCGGGCGATTTGGAGCAGAAACGCACGAGTGGTCACGCACAGGCACACACACACACACGCCTGTGCCGGCCACGCTTCCCATCTGGGTCACCTTTTCCTTACCCAGCTGCAGCAGGCAGCTAATGAGAAAACCCTGGAGACAGCGTGTACAGGGCAAGACGTAATGTGAGGAGGCAGGAAACAACTGCTCCGGCCAAGCACGGAAATCCCTTCCCTCGGCTGGTGCAAAGTTCAGCAAACATCCCCTATTTCCCACTCCTTCCACCCAAACCAGGATGCTGGGGGCCCAGGACTCCAGAGGGATTTGTGGATCTTGCAACAAGCACAGCCCAGCAAGACAGCATGCTGCAGCATGATCCAGTCCCTAATGGGGCAAATTTGTTTGTGAGGCCCCTATATGCTAGGATATATGGGCATGCAGACCTGACCTGGGCTGTCCTCATTGTAGGGCACTCCCTGGGACATGGGGGATGGATGTGACCAGAGGGAGCTGTGGGTGGGATGCATCCCCATGCTCAGAGGAGGCAAGGATGGGGTGCTGAGCTGTTGTACCTGGTGTAGCCGATGAGCACGTCGGTGGAAGTGAGCCTGGTGTAATCCCACTGCATGCCTCCATCCTGGTACAGCATCAGGATGTAGGACCTGAAGCCATCAGTGGTCAGGACAGCCTGGTATGTGACTGTCTGTGGAGAAGCGTTACAGACAGGTAAGAAAGGGAGTGAAGATGTGGGGTTTAAAATTCAGGGTGTGGGGCAGTGCTTGCTGGGGAATAGCCAGACTGAGGTCTGGAGAGAAACAAGGCAAACACAGCCAGGCCTGGTTCACATTTCACATGGAAAATGTGATGGTTTTACTTTGAAACTGTTCCATGACAAGCTTCAAATTCACCAATTTTATGCCTTTGAAAAACAGAATTTCTGGTGTGTGATAAACCCCCATCACCTTAAAGAGAAAAGTTTTATGGAACAGAGGTAGTCCAACTAAAGGTATCCCTCAAAAAAACTGAAAACCATCAAAACATGGGCACAGCCCAGTCCTTTTTGGCAAAATGCTTCAAGACTGGCCTTTGTCACAAAACTGGTTCTTATTTTCAGGCACAGAGAAGGTCATTGCCTGCAGGTCTCGGGGTTCTTTGACAACTCAGCAGCACCTGTGTTCCATCAGTCCCTTACCTTGCGGGTGTCAGTCCATGCTGCGTAGACAGGTGCCTTCTCCCAGGTGATCTTCAGGGTCCAGGCTGCAGAGTAGGAGGACCTCATGTACCGCCGGACCTTCGCTTCCACGTCACGGACGAACGGCGGCTTGGCCGTGTTGAGGGTGGAGAACTCCTGTGGGGTGGGAACACACAGGCCTGTGTTAGCTCCCAGTGGGACAAAACAGGCCAAGACTGGGGTCATGCTCAGACCCCTGTAACCAAAGCGCTGGATGGGATTTGGATGGCTCAAGAGGTGACATAGAACCATCAGCCCTTAGATTTGGCTCAGGAAAGGGAAAAACCATTCAGGGGCTCCATCAATTACACATCTCAAGAGGCATCCACAGAATAGATGATAGGTTTATGATCAAAAGGTGTTTTGTGCTATCGTGCTCCCAGGTGGCTTCACTCACCTGGTAAAAGGTGGTGCCGACACCTCTGGAGAAGTCAGCATTGTCCCAAAATACAGCGATCATGGGGACCTCTTCATGGCCATTGAAGCCACTGGGAGGAGGGTTGGAGTACGTGAAGACATTGTTGTCTGAGGCTGGGAAAATGATCTGTCCATTGTCTGTAAACTGAGCAGAGGGATCCCTCCATCAGGTGAGATCAGGACCAGCAGCACTCCCTGGCATGGGAGTGGCAGCCCTCCCATTTCCAAGTCCATTTTGAGCAGTGCCCAAGGAAAGCCACCACCTGACACTGCTGAAATGGCCACAAAGTCACCTCCTGCTGCAAATACATCACAGCAGCATCCCAATAGCTTTGGCCCCACAAGAGTCCCATCCCAGGCACCTGCTCCGTGATGTCTCTCCCAGGGTTTTGGATGGTGGCCACTTGCCCAACAAGCCAAACCCCAGTAGACTCACGTAGAGAGAGCTGCGCAGGGTTTTCCCAAATGGGAATCCAGTCTCAGGTTTGAAAAGTGGAGAATTAAAATCCACTCTCCTTTCCACGTACTCCTGATCATTTTCCCTTGCTCCATACCCATAGAGGGGCACAGCTGGAACTGGAAAACAAATAAACAAACAAACAATAAAAGCAAACCACATTTATAGTAAAGCCTTTGGTCTGTATCAAAAATTTTAAAGAGCTGAAATTATCTCGCTTCTACTGGGACAGAGCCTGGGCAGCAGAAGGATGGGGGGACACTACCTAAAGCCTCCAGGGACACTCTGCATGTCACCTTCCCTTGCAGGAGCTTGTTTCCCCCTCCTTTCACTGCCTTACATGAACACAGCTGCCCTAAACCTGCTATGATGGCCTTTGTGGTCACTGTCCCCTGCTTCAACCAGCCCTGTTGGGACACTGTGCTGAATGACTGCCATTAGGAAGAACATTGTACAAGGACTGTAGCAGGGGACAGCACAATTAAACAACCACAGCTCTTTCTGGAGACTTTTACAGCCTACATTTTACACCCTATTTATGTCTGTTAAAAAAAAACAAAAAACAAGCATATTTGGAGGGGATGTGTTTTCCAGCTGATGGGACTCTATTGAAGGCAGGCTCAGCCTGCCAACTGTGCAAGCTCATGTGCAGGGGCTCCTCAGGCTGCATCTACCCCCAGGATCCTGACCTCAAATACATCCCTTGTTTTCTGGGCACTGAATGTCCCTGAGGATGGTCCATCAGGAAACTGGATGTGTTAGTCCCACCCAGGCTGCTCTGCGAGCATCACGTACCTGTGGGACTGGGCAGCAGGGTTGGGACAGCTGCTGGCACTCCTGGTGGAGCTGGAACCACGGGGGACGATGCACGGGAGGTGACAGTGGCTGCTCCTGGCCTGGGAAGCACCTCCCTGCCCCTGGGCAGGAGGGCTGGTGGAGCTGGGCTGGCAGGGGCTGGGGACCTGCCCTGGGATCCCCCCTGGCCTGGGGAGGCTCCAGAAAGGCTTGGCCCAGAGGTGGCAGGGCCTCTGTTTGCCAGGCTGGTGGTCAGCTCCCTGCCCAGGAACGGCTGCAGGGCAGCGGGTGATGAGCCACCAGCAGGTCTTGGCCCCAGGGTTTTTGCTCCGGGACTGCCAGCAGTGATCCCAGTGGGAGGAAGGCCAGGGAGCCCTGGGCTCCCTCCAGGTGGGGAGTGAGTCTCCATATGTGCCCCAGACCCAGTGGCACTGGGAAGTGGACGGGTAACATCCCCTAGCCCTGTCATGGTTCCATGGAGCACAGCACTCCCTTCTCCAGGAACAGGGCTGTTGGCATCCCCAGAGGGGGCTCCAGGGCTTCCTGGCTGGCAGGGAGGCAGGAGCAAGGCAGGCCCCTCTGGCACAGCAGCCCCCAGCTCTCCCTTTCCCCCTGCAGAAGACCCCACTATCGACTCACGTGCTGAAAGCCCAGGGCTGGCAGCCACCCCCTCTGCAGAATTTCCTCTCTGTGGAGCAGAAGGCAGCACCGGGGCAGCATTGGGGGATATGGGAGCACGAGGGGACGCTTCTCCCAAAGGTGCCGGCATGCCTGAGGCCACCTCATCTTCAGGAGACCACAACTGAGCTCCAGCTTCTTCTGACAGCCCACCTGGTGAGCCTGGCAGCTGGGGGCTGCTCCCACTCTGGGTGCTTGGTGCAGAGTCAGGGTCCCCATTGGGTGCCAGCCCCGAGCTCAGCCCATGTCCAGGGAGAAGCAGAGAAGCAGCCACCGAGGTGGTCATGCCATTGGGAACACCGCTGTTGTCTGGAGCTGCTGGGACCAGGCTGGCACCAGGGGAAGGTCCCCCATTCACTGAGGCTCCTCCTGGCACCTCCACCACACTGACTTTGCTCAGTTTTCCATCAGAAAGTTCAGTATTGGCACCACTTTGAGTGCCAGGGGCAGGCAGAGAGGCTTCTTGAGGGCCAGCAGTCTCCATGCCAGTGTTCAAGCCACCACCAGCTGCAGCAGCTCCAGGAAGGCTGGTTTCATCAGCAGCCTCACCTGCCCATCCAGGTAATGAAGACCCCTCTGTAGACAAGGAAGAAGATGCAGACTGCAACACACCTCCTGTTTCTCCACCAAGGGTTTCTGAACCAGCTGGTCCCATTCCAGTAGGAGCCTGGGACTGGCCCGTGGACCCTCCATCACCAGCCCTTTCACTTGCCCCTTCTCCTGCAGCTGGAAGGACCCCAGTGCCAGGACCCAGGGAGGGCTGAAGACCTTCAGCAGCACTCTCTGCTCCTTCAAGTGTACCCAGGCTGGATGGATTTGAAATAGAGGAGGATGCAACATCACCACTGGGAGAGGCTGAACCAGATGAGGAACCTGCACCAGGCAGTTCACCCTGCTGAGGGCTGACAGCTGAAGAACTTGTCTCCATGTTGGGATTTTCACTCTCTGGGTTTCCTGCCTGATCCACATCCCCTGCACCCTCTGCCCCCTGCACCAGACCAAGCCCTGGGACAGTTTCACCATCTGCAGAGGCTGGGGACAGGCTGTCAGGGCCAGGGGCTGCAGATGACATGGGTCCTGCCTCATCACCCCTTGACACAGAAGGTGCCACCACATCACTGGGAGAGGCAATACCGGATGGGAAACCAGCACTGGGCAGTTGATCCATCCCAGCTGTTATTCCATTCCCTGCCGTGCAGTGGAGCTCAGGGATGGCTCAGACTCAATCCCACTGCCTGCTCCTTCCACTGCTGGCTCCGCTGTGCTGGCTCCTTGCTCTTCTGCTGCTGGCAGCCCCACACTTGTGCCAAGCTGGTCCCCAAGGCCAGGTGATGGGGGTCCTACCGGTCCATGGACTGCTGAGCTGGAGGTATCCCATGCTGAAGTCGAGTCGGTGTCTGGCCCTTCGGCTCCAGGGAGGCCGGATCCCACGGGAGCACCAGCTGCTGTTCCCCATGGCTGAGACCCACCAAAGGATGGAGACCCAGGTGCTCCCTGGGCAGCACTGAGGTCAGGGCTCACTGGTGTCTCTGCCTCAGACACTGGGCCAGCCACAGACCCCAGGGGTGGGAGAACAGCCCCAGGAGCACTGGCAGATTCACCGGGCAGGTCTCCTGTTCCTTCAACTCCTGAGAGATCAGGCTTCATTCCAGCATTGCTGGGAGGTGCAGAGCCAGGCAAGGACCCTTGTCCCAGTGCTGGGGCTCCTCCTGTTCCAAGTGCTGATGGGGGTGAAAGTTCAGCATGCACCATGTCCCCTGTTACTTCTGGTGACAGCTCTCTGATGTTAGTGAGATCCTGCTGAGGGCTGACAGCTGAAGAACTTGTCTCCATGTTGGGATTTTCACTCTCTGGGTTTCCTGCCTGAGCTACATCCTCTGCACCCTCTGCCCCCTGCACCAGACCAAGCCCTGGGACAGTTTCACCATCTGGAGAGGCTGGGGACAGGCTGTCAGGGCCAGGGGCTGCAGATGACATAGGTCCTGCCTCATCACCCCTTGACACAGAAGGTGCCACCACATCACTGGGAGAGGCAATACCGGATGGGAAACCGGCACTGGGCAGTTGATCCATCCCAGCTGTTATTCCATTCCCTGCAGTGGAGCTCAGGGATGGCTCAGACTCAATCCCACTGCCTGCTCCTTCCACTGCTGGCTCTGCTGTGCTGGCTCCTTGCTCTTCTGCTGCTGGCAGCCCCACACTTGTGCCAAGCTGGTCCCCAAGGCCAGGTGATGGGGGTCCTACCGGCCCATGGACTGCTGAGCTGGAGGTATCCCATGCTGAAGTCGAGTCGGTGTCTGGCCCTTCGGCTCCAGGGAGGCCGGATCCCACGGGAGCACCAGCTGCTGTTCCCCATGGCTGAGACCCACCAAAGGATGGAGACCCAGGTGCTCCCTGGGCAGCACTGAGGTCAGGGCTCACTGGTGTCTCTGCCTCAGACACTGGGCCAGCCACAGACCCCAGGGGTGGGAGAACAGCCCCAGGAGCACTGGCAGATTCACCGGGCAGGTCCCCTGTTCCTTCTGGCCCTGAGAGATCAGGCTTCATTCCAGCATTGCTGGGAGGTGAAGAGCCAGGCAAGGACCCTTGTCCCAGTGCTGGGGCTCCTCCTGTTCCATCTCCAAGTGCTGATGGGGGGGATAGTTCAGCATTTGCCAAGTCCTCTGTCCCTCCAGTCAGCAGCTCTCCATTATCAGCAGGAGATACTGAGGGCTGAAGGGCTGGAGCACTCATGTCACTCTGGATGTCTTCATAGGGACTGGTATCCCCTGGACCTCCTGCCTGTGCCGTGTCCCCTACCCCCTGAGCTCCCTGAACCTGGCTCCCAGCAGTGGGCCATGTCAGTCCATCAGGTACAAAAGGCTCTGGGCTGGGGGCATCTGAATCTGAGCTCAAGCCAGTGCCAAGTCCATTGGCCTCCTGGGGAGCTCCAGCCAGCATCCCAGCGGACTGTGACTCCCCGAGAGATGGAGACACGGCTGCTTCTGGGCCAGTAGCGAGGTCAGGACTTGCTGGTGTCTCTGCTGCACCATCAGCATCAGGCAGGGCTCTGGCTCCAGCCTCTGGGGCTGGGTAAGCAGCCCCAGGAGCACTGGGGGTGTCAGTGGAGGATGTCAGAGCATCAGGAAGCAGTGGTGGCTGTTCTCCAGTGTGGATCTGCCATGGGGCAGGCTGGAGAGATGGACTGGCCAGATCCACAGCTCCCACGTCACCTGAGGGCACTGCAGTGGCTGAGACCGGGAGATTTGTGTCGCTCTCTGCATCAGTGGGAACCCCTGGGGCTGGCAGTGAGGTGGCAGTGTCTTCTGTTTCCTCAGGTGCCACTGGTGCCCTGCTGGCTGCAGGTGACAAGGCTGAACCAGAAGGCTCTGATGACACCCCAGGAACTCCCTGCCCATCCCCACCATTGGATGGTGTCAGTGAAATGTCTGGGCTCAGTGCCTGGCCAGGGAGGAGGGAGGACTTCTCAGGGTTTTCCACTGTTCCTGACATCGCTGGGCTCTCTGGAGGAACGTTGGATGGGCTGGCTGTGCTGAATTCACCATTTATTGCATCTCCTGCATCTCCAGATTCTGAAGCCAAAGGACTTTCCTCACCAGCTGGGGCCATTTCTCCTGCTGGCTCTGGGTTAATGCCATCAGCCCTGCCCACTGCTCCATCCTGCTGGGCTGGAAGCAGCTCCCTGGCATCAGGACTGGAGCCTGAGGAGTTGGCACTGGCTTCACCTTGAATAGCTTCAGGCAGGATTACTCCTTCCTCGACTGCTTCCTGGGCTGTGGTCAGTCCTTGGCTCAGCAGCACAGTGACACCAGCAGTTGGCTCTGGCACCCAGGTGACTGCCAGTGGAGAGGTGGTGGGGAGGGATGTAGTGCCAGTACTGAGGTCTGTGTCTCCTCCTCTGTTTGCAGGGATGTCCTTGACATCCTCAATGACAGGGGTGGTCCCCAGAGGGACATCAGGAGGGACATCTAGCTCATCATGCACTGCTTCTGGGGTGACAGCAGGGTGCTGTGCGGTGATGGCAGCAGCAGTTGTGGCCATATTGGGAGCAGAGGAATTTCCCTCAGTACTCTGAGTGGTGTTAGGAGCCTGGGTCCCATTCACCAAAGCTGGCACCGAGGAGCTGTGTTCGCTTGTCACCGTCACTGGATCCGTCTCAGTCCAGGGAGGGAAGGTCTCAGCATCAGCTGCTGTGGAGCTCATCTCTGTTGTGAGGGTAGTATGGGGCCACTTGTCCTCTGTTGTCATGGGGAAAGCTGTCCCCACAGTAAAGGACCCATCGGTAGTGACAGGGACAGCAGCAACAGCCCCGAGCCCTGCAGAGAAGCACAAAGTGGAGTGTTACGGTGGGAGCTGGAGCTGGCAGCCTGCCAGGCTCAGACATCTCTCTGTGAGAATCATAAAGCTCCCACCACTTCTTAAACCTCTTCTACCTCATCCCATAGCCTTACAAGGCCCTGATTTAAAAGCCAAGGAGTGCAGTGTGGGCTGCCTTGGGTAAAGCACTGCACAGCACCTCTTGCATCTTCAGCATCAGCAGCTGGCAGCTGAGACAGGACACAGGTCAGGGAGAGGCACTGATGCAAGCAAGGAGGCAAAAGCAGCTGCTGAAACCCAGTCCAGTCATGGGATGCCCGGCCACTGGGTAGAGCTGGAGCCCAAGTAAGTCTAGTTCATAGCCCTGGGGGTGTCTGTGCAGCTCTGCCACCTCAGGGCAACCCTCAGCCCTCTTTCCATCGCTGCAGGGACAGCTCTGAGCACAGTCACTTCTGCACAGCCTGGGGGCCTTCTGTGGTTTTTTCACTTTTCGGGTGTCTGAGGGACATTTAAATAACTTTACCCAAAGCCCACTGTCAGACAGAAAAGCCAAGGTTTAGGGAAGCTTTCCCTGACTGCAGATGGATTCTGATCTGCTGCACTTAAAGCAGGTTCAATAAAACTCTCCTGGGCTGGGCACCTGCCCGCTCCTGCCCCATCCCTCTTGCCTCCAGCTGACTGAAGGCACCAGGGGTTCCCTGCCCAGGGAATATTTGCAATCTCCCAGGACCAAGCCCTGCTTACAGTTCTCTCTTCCTGCTGCCAAAATCCTAACCCACATCATCCAGGAGCTCTCCTGAAAGGAGGAGACACCTGCCCACATCCCAGACGTGTCTCCCAGAACCCACTGGCACCCATGGGTGGCGTCTCACACGGTCTTATTTTTAGGACAGGGACGCAGGCTCTGGGGCGACCAGGCTGCCGCCGTTGGCTCCGTGAGGAGCCGGGTGGATCTGCTGACGCTTGGCTTTAGGGAGCTTCAATTAGGGGAGACGGAGGGCACCCCGATGGCAAGATCCAGCAGGGCTTTCCCGCAGCCTGACAGCCCCAGCCTGTTCCCAATCCTGGTGCTCCAGTTTGTCAGGTTCCCCCTGACAGGCAGCCAGATCTCCCTGCAGCAGAGGTGCCTCCAACCTCACCGCCAGCTCAGCTCGTTAGCTCCCAGATAGCTTGTGCAGGGTCATTAATGAATATCAGCTCCTGTGCCAGACCAGTCCTCGAGGGGTCCATCCTCTGCTAGACCCACATTCCCTTTCCTGGCAGGCTGCTTCAGTGTCATCTTCCCTGGCTGGAAAAGGCTCGTTGTACCAGCCTCCTCAGCCAAAGGAACACAGCAGCTTCTGTCCCCATCTCAGGGAAAACAAAGTACATCAGTCAAGTCACCCAGTTCAGTCTGGACCACTCACCCTAATTCTCACCCTGCAAACAGGGTAAATCCCTGTTTTATCTTAATTCTTCAGTGTGGAACAGGAAACACCATCTTCCCCACACCCCCATTCATGGGAAGTTTGTGTGAGAGGGGCCCCAGCATTGAGCACCAGCATTTGCTCTTCCCTGGGATGTGGGAGGGGTGGGAGCATCCCTGGGTCCCGCTCTGCCAGCTGGCTTCCCTTGGCTCCTTTGCTGGAGGGGTACACAGCTGCCTGCAGGCTTCCGGGCCGGGCTCTCATCTCTCCCACGGCTCCACGCCTGCAGCCAGCCCCTTGGGGTGATGCCTGCCCTGTAAAATGCTTTTCCAGCTCTTTGGCTGCAATGACTTGAAAGGACTGGTCGAAAGAGGAGTTTCCAGTACAGCCAGGAGTGAAAGGCATCTCACAGTGTACCTGCTGCACCCTGACAAGGCTCGGGTAGTACATGGGCTAGCAGAAAAATATGGGACATACCGTGCAGAATCCATGTGCAGCATCCCAGGAAGGTGGAGAGCGTCCATCCCCTGGTCCCCATGCCTCAGGCCTCCACACAGGCAGAGCACTAGGAAGCTCAAAGGGAGGAGAGAGCAGCAAGGTGCAGCTCCCTCCGTCCCTCCCTGCCCGCCTCTCCTGCAGAGCTGGAGTCCCACAGGTGCTCCTGCTCCCTCCTATTTATAGGGATGGCAGAAGGAGGCAGGTTGTCTACGTCCTCTCCCGCCCCCGCTCCCTTCCCTCCAATGTCCCTGTCACCCTTCCCTTCCGGTGGAGCCCTCCCCTTCCCAAGGGCTGGATGCCCTGTTCAGGTGGGGCATGGGCTGGGGTGTGCCCAAAGCCCACCCTGCAGGGACCCACATCTCCCCAGGGAGCTGGGTGCAGGCTGGTGCAGCTCCCTGGGCTGCCAGGACCTGAAGGTGAAGCTGAGCCCAGAGCAGTGTGTGGCACTGCCAACAGTGGCATGGCAGTCACCCCACAGACCCCAGAGAACCTGCTCCACACGCAGGGTATGAGGCCACAGAGCAGTATGTGGTGGTGACAGGGCAATGCCAGCTGGTGTCAGCTGTGAGGACACAATGGACACTAAAATCACCAGCTGAGCAGTGTCTCAGCCCAGAGCAAGGCAGGACACAAGTCTCCACGTGGTTCCCTGGGAGCAGAGGCAGGTTATAAAGCAGGGAGAAGCATGGCTGGGGTCAGGCCCTGGGGTGTCAGTGGAGCTCCACAGTGCTCAGCTGCAACCAGAAGCACTGGGTTCAGAGCCCCAGCACACGCCAGTGGGCTTTGAAACCTGCACCTCAGCCTGGGCACAGCAGTGCTGGGGTGCTAGGAGGGGGTAAAGCAGGGAAGCTTCTCTGCAAGGCTGGACCAACATCTCCAGAGAATGGAGCAGGAGAAGGAACAGACCAAGACCCCCTTCCCTGCCGTGGAGATCCCCTGAGTCACTTCGCCCCTATGTCTCACCCCCCGCCTCCAGGAGCAGCTATTCCTGCATACCCCCCTGAGAACTGCTGCCAGCTCCCCTGTGAACAGCATTATGCAAACTCCCACCACTACACGGTTTTGTAGTCAATTAAACACTCCTTAACCAGAAATGCCCCCAGGCAACTCCTGCAAAGTGTTATGAGGGGTGTTAGGCAGTACACAGTGTCCTGCTGGAGTCAGGCACAGCACACCAAGTGACACCCCGACCCACCACCAGGCAGCATGGATGGGGAACTGCCCCGGGAGGCCAAGTCACGGCTGATCAAGCACCATCCTGTAACACCCACACATTACCCCTGGCAGTGGGAACAGGGCACAGACCATAAACCAGGGGCAGCACCACTCACCTGGAACTAAACACCTGCCCACCAAAAATGCCACTGTGGGTGCGAAGCTGTGGGGGGGACAGTGCACTGGGGGTCTTGCACTGCAGATCATGGGGTAACTGACCCATCAGTGACCACCTGAGCAGTGACCACACCAGGGCTGATGGAGCATTTGAGAGATGTAAACCTGCCGTGGGAGAGCAGTTCCTGCCTGTGCTGACGATGCTGTATCACTTTGGAAAGCAACCCCGACAGGGAATACATGCTGACGCTGAAGACTGTCGCTCCAGATGGTGTTTGAGGTGCAAAATGTGGTGGGAACCACAGGGATTGTTGCAAACATGTTGCTCAGCATAGAGGAAAACTATTCAGCTGAAGAAAGCCCCAGCCTGCCTGCAAGCTCCTGTCTGTGCTCTTCAGAGGCAAACACTGTCTGAGACCCTCGTGCCTGCAACTCCTGCCCATGCTGGCCCCCAGAAATGCTCATCTCCCAGCAGTCACGGGGCTGACAAACCCAACCTATCCCTCTGCTCAGGCGTTCGCACACCATCCCAAGAATGCCCAGAGCCACCAAGGGAAGCTTCATCTTGAGGACAGTACCCTGTTATCACTCTGGGAAGGGGCTTTTTATTGATCTTTTTGCTATGTCTGAAACCAAGGTCCTGGCAAAGTGCTGGTTCCTGTAAGAGTCATCAATCTGCTGTTACCAAAGCATCATGTGGGCACTGGAACCCTTCAGGAGCCTGTAGCCAGGGGGCAATTCCATTAATCCCAGCACCCAGGGGCTCTGCACCATCCAGCATGGCAGAGCATGGCCCAGCACAGTGTCTTATCAGCTTTCCTGGAATTAATGGGCTGGTTGTTCCAGTCCTGTGGAGAACACAGCATCTCCTACTGGCTCCCCTCCAGCCTCCTGGCAAGGGCATTTGGAGAGGGCTCAGGGGTGGCAATGGGGAAAACCAGGTTATCCATCAACCCCAAAGGTTCTGGATGACTTGGCATGCTGGGTGTGTTGCAACACCCTCCTGCCAAAGAGTGGGAGCTGGGCTATAGCCAGCAGCAGGGTGAAGGGAAGGGGGCACTGGAAGGCACACCTGAGTCATAAGGGACTTGAGACATGCCCCATGATGCTGCCAGGTCCTCCAAAGGTGACAGTCACGCTGGGCACAAGATTTGTTCCTTTGGACAATACTGAGAGATTGGAGTGTATCACAGCAGAGAGGCTGAGAACTCTTTTGTGGACTGGGAAAGCAGCAGGACTTGGATCCAGCCTCCCAAGCCCCTCTGGTCAGCAGTCTGTGGCAGGCAAGCAGCCACGGGGTGAAGGTGGCACCTCAAGGACAGCAGGCACAGAGAATACAGGCAGTGTCAGGGGCTTGTCAGAGCTCTGTGCCACCACTGCCTGGGCAGTGACACCACTCCCATGGAAGCCACATCCTCCCACTGTGTCCCTCTTGTCCCTCCCAGGCTGGTGGCAGAGGGGATGTCCTGGTTTAGGGTGTCCCCCTAGGACAGGGGACCAGGGCATCTCCTCCCCACACAGCCCCCCAACCACGGTAAGGCTGGAAGGCAGCTGTGCCAGCAGAGAACAGTGAGTACCCTGGTCACCTTTTCATCCCAGCACTTCAGGACCTTTTCCTCCCTTTGTGACGCAGTTTGGCTCCATTACCCCAGCCCTGGCACTCAGCCATGTCCCGGGGTCTGAAGTTATGGATTCAACAGCCGGAGAAAACAGCCCAGTGGGACGCGACGTGGGAGGACTCTTGGCCCAGCTCCAAGGCGTAGGCAGACCACAAGGATTTCTTTCCCAGCACCCCACCAGACAGCCAGCACAGGGACCCCTTCCAACAGGCTTTGCCCTGCTCCCCGGCTCTTTGCCCAGCTGCTAAGGGAGCTCTCTCAGTCTCAATGGGTCCAACAAGCCCACAAAAGCCAGGCAGCATCCTCAAGAGCAAAGGGGCCACCCTGGAATGCAAGGGGAACCCCAAATGGGAGCATCCTGACAAGCTGCCCAGGCACAGCTTCCAGCCCAACCTCTCCCAGGCCCTGTGAACTGGCAGACAGCTGGGTGATCCCACAGTGTCTCTCCCCATCCTGTCCAGCTGCTGGCTTCTTCCCAGCCAGCTGACAATCCAGGCAGCCTGAGAGAAGTCCCCAGGTTAGGAATCCCACAGCCCCACACACCTCCTCCCAGCCCTCCCTGTGCCAGGGCAGTGAGGGCTGCCAGTGAGAAGCAGGGATCAGCCAAAAACAACCCCTGACACGCAACAAGGCTATTTTGCTAATTATTTCAGTTTTCAATCTCCAGGTGAGGTGGCTTGTTTAGGCTAATAATTGCTTCAGTTGGATTTTATCTGGCTAATTAATCAGTTAATAAATGACTTTGCTGCAGGGGGACAGATGTTGCAGCCTTCTCCTTAGTTGGGGACTGGAAAAAACAGGGAAGGAGCACTGCCCAAGGGATTTCCACAGCTCCACAGTGCACAGGGCAGCTGTGGGGTGCCATGGGGCAGAGAGCCCCAAAGCAGAGACCACCAGTCTGCCAGAGTGCTGAGCCATCAGCCAGAACTGAGCCCATCTAGCCATGCAAAGGTCTTGGGACTCAGTTTTCCTCACTGCTACTTCCAATACATGGCAAAGCTGAAAATTGGGAAAGGCAACTTGGAAAATAAAGAAGTCATTACTTCAAGACAGAAAAATATGGAATTTCTGTTTACTGCCCAGCATGGGTGTTCTCCTCTCTCAGCAGTATCACAGGTGAGCCTTGGGCACAGCAGTACTGGGGGTTTCAGGTCTCCTTCCTCTCATTCCTCTGTCCCCAGGGTGGCTTAGATGGCTGAGCCAGCTCACTCCCAGGTGTAAAAGCCCAGTCCCCTGGGGTTCCCTTCTCCCAGCCCCCCAGCAGACCTGGAGGGGGTCCCACCACAGGAATCAGGTCTGAAGCAGGGTGGTGGGAGGGCTCAGGCTCTTCAGACAGGCCGTGGGACGGGGCAGGAGGGGCACTGGGGGTCCTCTCGGGGTACAGAGTGAAGAACAGGAGGCTCCAGGTCCAGGAGGAGCTGTATGGGATTCCCCAGGGGCCTGTACCACCATGGAGTGAGGGGCTGGGAGCAGGGGTCCCAGCAATCCAGGCAGGAGCAGGCCAGGCGAGGGGCAGTGGTCAAGTCCTCCTCTTCCCTCGCCACGCCAGTGCCAGGCCAGCACACGGGAATGCTGTCTGCAGGTCCTCACGGAGCTGGGGGGAAAGAACAGACATCAAACTGTGCCAGGGGGGTTTCCTAACCCCTGTCCCCACACAGAAAGGGCCTGATCCTGGACTATGGCAGACAAAGGAGGGTCTCCCCTTAATCTGAAAGGGCTCTGGATGACATTCAGTGCAAGATGCAGCCATTCCCCTCCCTGAGTGAACCACAGCTGGCAGATGCAGAGTGGGATCTCCTCCTGCACACCTCACCTTGGACAACACCAGCTCCTGCACCGTGGTGTTCCCCATGTCCAGAGGGGTGGTTAGCCGCAGAGACAGAAAGAGGTGAGATGCACCTAGGGATTGAAAATAGCACTCTGGTTATTTCCCTTGAGCCCTGAGCTGTGCCAGAGGACCTGGGGGTGTCTCCCCAGGGTTGCTGGCACAGACATGGAATGTCCTCCCAGGTTAACTGTGTCATGGACACACTACACTGTCAGAACATGCCTCTCACTGTACAGCAAATCACCTGTATCCCAAAGCATCAGCACCTCCACACTGAGGGCACAGCAAGAGGAGTGGGGCTCCAGGACCCCCTGCACTGGCCCCAAGCAGTGATGCTGGGGTGGTGATGCCCAATGGGCACTGCACTTACTGGTGTTGGACGAGCCAGAGGGGCAGACTGGTGGCAGCGTTGGCAGGTCTGTAGGTGTGCTGAGGGTAGGAGCCTCTGAGGTCTGGGCTGAGCTGGTGGCAGGGGAAGTGGGTTCAGTGCCTGGGCAAAGCAATGTTAGGTTAGTGCTGTCTGCAGAGGTTCAGGATGCTCCTGCAGCTGGGGACAGGCCTAAGTGAAGCCTCCTATGTGAAGCCACCCAAAGACCTGGGATTCCTATGGGGATTTGTCACCCTGACCATGTCCCTGCCTTCAGGTGCCCCCCAGCTGAACCCACCCATGGCTGCACTGGGAGGTCCCAGATACTGTCAGGGTACCTGGAGTCAACTCCACAGTTGAGGGGAAGATTTCAGGGGTGGTCCTGTCTGGGTAGCTTGAAGAGGGAGTGTTCATGGGGTCTGATGTGCTGATAACAGGGCTGGCTGTGGTATCTGCCAGGGTTGCCAAGGACTCGGCTGAATCTTCTGTAGTTGTGGTGGGAGAAGGCACAGTGGGAGGAGAGGTGTTGCCAGTCTCTGTGGATGTGCTGGACTCCTCTGAGGTGGAGGCTTCTGTTTCAGGGCTGGAGGAAAGGAGGGTGGCTGTGGTGGTGGTGGAGTCAGTGGTAGGCAGCAGTGCTGAGCTCTCCATAGGTGTTGAGGAGGTAGGGAGAGCTGGGGACACAGTTGCTGTCACACCCATGGCAGTGGTCTCTGCAAAGAGTTGGGACAATGAGATGCACAAGGGGTGGTGGTGAAAGGCTGAATCTGTGGCTGTGCTGGGGATGGTACAGCATCACCACCACAGTGAGTTCCCAGGAACTCAGAGCTGCATCAGCCATGGAGCATTGGGAGTCGGAGTTTGCTGTCCTGCATGGATCAAACACCCAGATCTCTTCAATGGGTATAACCAGGCAGACCACATAAATGCCCAGCCTGACAAAGCAGGAACAAGCCATGGCCATCGCTGGTTTCGGGGCAGAAACTCCTCTAGGCGCCAGTCCTGAGACCCATTCCACCATCTTCACCCATCCCGTGAGACGGTCTGGAAATGCAGCAGCAGCAGTTTAAACAAACCCTCTGTGCTGCAGATAGTCAGGAACTGATAGCGGTGGGTGTAAATAATGGCAAAGGGGGAAGCAGCCCCACAAAGGAAAAAATCCCAGCTTGCAGCTCAGGATGAGCCGTTAGAGACGTGCTGTGACCCACAAAAGCTCTGGGAGGAGGGGGTGGGATGCAGGAGGGCTGACCTGTCTTCCACTAAGGGCTGTACTGGAGCAGTGTGCTGTCCCCAGAAAAGCCCAGGGATCAGTAATCCTCTCCAAAGGATAGGCAGGACAGCCTGGCTGCCTGGACCTTTGTCAAGGGGTGTCTGTGAGGTGGTGGCTTTGGGATAGCAGACTGGATTCCCCAGTGATCCCAGCACAAACCCAGTGAGTTTGAGGCTCTGCTCGCATGAGGACAGGAAACCAAACCACAAGCTGACATCTGCTTTCAGCCAACCCAGCCAGAAATTTCCAAAGCCCCTGGCAGCCATGCCCTCCCTGTACACAGCAGCTGGTTAAATAAAAATACAGAGAAAGGCAAAGGTCTGGCCCCAGCCCTTGCCAGGTGAGTGTCTGCACAGAAGGGCCTCATCATCGCAAAAGGAGAAGCAGCAAGTCCACCTCTACTTCCCATTCAAGAAGCAGGAAACAGCCCCCACAGCATTCCACCAGTGCACCCCAGAGGTGCCACCCCTCCTCCCTGGGGAATGATGCTCCCCGCTCCCCCCCCACCCTGTGGAGAGCATCGCATCCCGCTCACCCTTACCCAGAGCCAGGTGCAGCACGGCGAGGCAGGTGAGGCTCAGCAGCAGCAGCAGCAGCAGCAGCAGGGGCCCGGGCAGGGACAGCCCCCCTCTCTGCCCAGCCATGTCCAGGTGAGCGGGAGCTGACAAACCCCCGCAGGCACCGCTCTGAGTGCTCCCCACAGCCCCAGCACTGGGGTTTCCACGTCTCCTTCACCCAGCAGAGGAGGAGCATCCAGGTGGGTCCTTTTACCCTCCTGGCAGTGAGGCAGTGGGTTCCACCTGACACGGACACTCCCAGGGACTGGTGCAATGCCCAGCAAACATCAACTGCACAGCTGGACCCAAAACAGCCACAAAAAGTGGGCAGGGCAGGCCACCGAGGCCACCACTACCACAGACCTGGTTCCCGTGGCTGTCTTCTGCCTGCTGTGGGGAGGGTGACAAGGGAAAAAAGCCCAGAGATGAGCCAGGCTGCCTGGAACCCCGCACTTCACCACAGGGGTGATGTTTGGTGATGGCTCCCAGCACCAACGCCCTCAGGAGACACCAGCCAGCTCTGTCTGAGAGCGAGGAACTGGCCGAGAGAACAGGCGGAGCTCAGGAAGGGCGTGCTCCAGGCTGAGGGTTTGTCCCCTGGGCTGTCTGTACAGGCATCACTTCCCCGTGTCACGGCTGAAGTGCACTGCTGACAGCTGGGGCTGCTTCCTTCTTCACAGGGTCAGGGACAAGAGCACTCGGAGGTGCCTGCAGGCCCTGGGCCAGGTGTTGGTGTTCCACAGGCAGGCAGGCATGCTGGAGGATTGTCAGGGCATAGGCACCCTGCTGCTGAACAGCTACATGGGGGCACTGCCAGGGCACAGGCACACAGAGGCCATCACCAGGGTACCGGCACTCTGATGAGGTGCTCTCACACCATAGGCATTGGGCCAGGGTGCAGGTACTCCGTGAGGATACAGCAGGTCTGCTGGGGTACAGTCACACTCCTTGGGGTGCAGGGTCCACAGATTGTCCAGAGGGTGTGTTCATACAGGCCCAGTGCCGAGGGCACAGCCACATGGCACTACTGTCACACCACAGCACAGGTCCCCAGCCTGGGACCCACCCACTGGCCTGCAGAGCCTGGAGACTGGGTGGCCCCTGGGGGAAGAAGCCAAGTGCCTGGCTGAGCAAGATGGGAGATCCCATGGGAATTTACCACCCTGAATCTGCCCTCCTGGTGCCCCATAGCTGCACTCACCTGCAGTGCCACTGCGGGTCTCTGGTTCTCTTGAGGTGGAGGTACCAGGGATGGTCCTAGGCATGATCCCAGCTGGCTGGCGGGGAACAGGGGTGTTCCCAGGGACCTCTGTGGTGGTAACAAGGAAGGCCATGGTGTCTGATGGGGTCATCAAGGGCCTATCTGAAGTGTCTGTCACTTCTGAGGTGGTGGAAAAAGAGACAGTGCTGGTCCCTGGGGATGTGCTGCCAAGCAGTGTGGTCATGGCTAGCCTTTGATGGGTGCTGGTGCTGGTGGAGGAGAGAAGAGAAGAGGTGGGGGGACGCAGCATGCTCATTTCAACTCCAAATGAGCTGACAGCCAGGGCTGTGCTGGTCCCCATAGACATGAAAGTGGCAGTCTTGTCACAGTTGGGTGTCATGGCCACAGAGGCTGGAGTTGGTGTGCTGGTGGTGGTGACCCCCAGCCCTGCTGGAGTACTGCTGGTGGTGGTGGGTCCCAGCCCAGGTGACACAGGAGTGCTGCGAGCTGTGCTGCCCCTTGCCTGTGCTGTGGTGACGTTGGATGCTGCCGGGCTGCTCCACTGAGCTGTAGAAGCACTGGATGTGAAGGCATCCATTGGCATCTCTGGGGCGGAGGTTGCAGGATGAGAGGAAGGGAAGGTGGCTGCAGTGCTTGAGCTGGTGTTGGGCAGCAGTGCCATGGTCTCTGTGGGTGTCAAGAAGGTTGGGAGAGTCAGGGATATAGGATTTGTCATACCTTTGACAGTGGTCCCTGTAAAGAGGTGGGAAACAGCACACAAGGGCTGGCAGTGGAAGGCTGGGACCACAGCTGTGCTATCGCCATGAACTGCCCAAGTCTTGCATCAGCCATGGATCATCAGGCGTGGGGATTCCCTGTCCTGTATGGATCAAGCACATGGATTCCCTGACTAGCAACATGGCAATCAGCCAGGCAGACCACATAAATGCCCAGCCTGACAAAGCAGGAACAAGCCATGGCCATTGCTGGTTTCGGGGCAGAAACTCCTCTAGGCGCCAGTCCTGAGACCCATTCCACCATCTTCACCCATCCCTGGAGGAAGTCAGACAAACCCGTCTGACAGGAAGAGCCGAGCAGGAACTGGTGACCGTGAGACGGTCTGGAAATGCAGCAGCAGCAGTTTAAACAAACCCTCTGTGCTGCAGATAGTCAGGAACTGATAGCGGTGGGTGTAAATAACGGCAAAGGGGGAATGCTTTGTGGAACTAGGCCCACAAAGGAAAAAATCCCAGTTTGCAGCTCAGGGCAAGTCTATGAGAGACTTGTTGCAGCGCACAAAAGCTCTGGGGGGAGGGGGCTGAGGGGTGCAGCAGGAGCTCAAGGCTTTCAGGAGGTACAAACTGGGTTTATTCCCAGTGATCCACTCAAGACTGCTCTTACCTCTTATCAAGTGCAAATGTTGAGATGGCATTTGAAGTTTTCCAGGCCTAGTCTATCCCAGTGAGGCTGCCATCTGAGCAGGGCCATTTGGTGCTACTGTGCAGGTTGCAGCAAAGGCAATGAGCCCAGCAAGGCCCAAGGTTCAGCAAGGGGGTCCAGCTGGGCCTAAGATCTTCTCTCCCCAGATGGAGACCCACATCAGAGGCAAAAGAAATAGAGCTTGCTGGTTGTGCTCTATAAAGCACTGCCCTGTTTGCTCACTAGGACAGGGCTGAGATGTTGGAGAGCAAACAGCACCCAAAGTGCCTCCCCTCTGTGGGTGAAGTCACCCCCGGGCCACCCACCAGCCTGGAGAACGATGCTCCTCACTCACCCCCCATCCCACGGATAACTCCACATACCGCTCAGCCCTTACCCAGTGGGAGATCCAGCACAGCAAGGCTCAGCAGCAGCAGCAGAGGCAGCCCTCCCGTGCCCCGAGTCATGTCCAAAGCCAGCACCCCAATGCCTTGAGTGGTGCGGGACCTGAGGACACAGGGCATGGGGAAGGTGCCAGCAGGGAACTACCGAGTGATGGCTGAAGGCAGTCGGAGCTGCTTCCTTGTTCCCGGGCGCAGGGAGGGGAGGCACCGGCGCGCACCGACACCCCTCCCGGGGCAGGTGCGGCGCCCCGGGGCCATCGCTGCAGCACCT